CTCGGCTTCGTTTCCTCAGCCCCAGCTGCTTTCAGTCCGCTTGGGAGGAGGAGGTGGCAGCGGCGGCTCGCATTGTTTTCTGAGCCTGCGAGCCTAGAGCTAAGAAAACAATGCGAGCCGCCGCCGCCACCACCACCTTCTCCTCCTCCCGAGCGGACTGAAAGCAGCTGGGGCTGAGGAAACGAAGCCACCTCGGCTCGTGTTGTTTTCTGAGCCTAGAGCCAGGGCGCTTTCATTGCACGGCGGAGCTTCTTGTCTCAGGAAACACCGGGCGCCATTGCTGCCCCGAGGGGAGGGCGATTCTGGGCTGTGTGATTGGGGGATTTCGTGGCTTTGGGTGGGAGCGAGACGGACGGAGTCCGCGAGGCGGGGCTTGCCTGCCCTTGCTGGCTGCCTCTGCTTCCTTAGGGGCGGGGAAGGGGGCTCATCTGGACCAAGGGTGAGTCTCCCCCTCAGTTTCCCCTGAAGGATCTTCCGTCGCTTCTGCCTTCTCCCTATGTCTTCCCTCTGTTAAAATCCCCACACACACACTTATTTTCAGGCGGATAGATTTCGTGTCTGAGCATTCTCACATGACGGTGGGTCTTTCCCCCTCCTTAAAAACAGTTAAAAAAAGAAAAAACAATATATCCTCATGCAATAACTTTTCTGCTTCCGATTACCCCCATGGTTACAAGTTGCAAAGGAAACACGGAAGCAGGGAAGCGGCTGCCCAGCTCCGGAGCTCCACACCATTTTTTTTTCAGAGGGAATCTTACTCGAGTATAAGCCGAGGGGTTTTTTTTCAGCACAAAAAATGTGCTGAAAAACTCGGCTTATACTCAAGTATATACGGTAATTAAGTGAATCTGGCTTTTTCATCGACTTTGCTTGCCAGAAGTTTACAAAAAATGATCACATGACCTCAGGACACTGCAAGTGTTTTAAATATGGCAAAAAAAATCAGAAAATAAAATACAAGCTGAATAGTCAAACCTTGTTGATGAGTCCCAAACTCTGTCAAGGACCTTGGAGTACTCATCTCTAATGACCTAAGTGCTAGAGCCCACTGTAACTACATAGTCAAAAAGGTATTAAGAGTTGTTAACCTAATCCTGCATAGCTTTTTCTGTGGTAATATCACGCTACTAACTAGAGCATACAAAACATTTGCTAGACCAATACTTGAATACAGCTCATCAGTCTGGAACCTGCATTACATATCTGATATTAATACAGTTGAGAAAGTCCAGAAATATTTCACAAGAAGAGTTCTCTACTCCTCTACTCATTGCAGAATACCTTAGGCCACCAGACTTGAAATTCTAGACCTAGAAAACCTAGAAGTAGCTGCCTTCGGTCCTATCTAAGTATATAGTATATAAAATTATATATTGCAAGGTCCTACCTGTCAATGAATACTTCAGCTTCAATCATAACAATACAATAGATACAAACTCAATAGATACAAACTCAAGGTAAACCGCACCAAACTTGACTGGAGGAAATATGACTTCAGCAACAGAGTGGTCAATGTCTGGAATACTCTACCTGATTCTGTGGTTTCTTCCCCAAACCCCAAAAACTTTAACCTTAGACTGTCTACTGTTGACCTCACCCCTTTCCTAAGAGGTCTGTAGGGGGCGTGCATAAGTGCACCAACGTGCCTACCATCCCTGTCCTGTTGTTTCTTTTTATTGTATCCATTTCATGTATTCATAACTATGTTTATACTTATACCTGTTATAATTGCTTCACAAAATAATAAATAAATAAATAAATAAATAAATAAATAAATAAATAAATAAATAAATAATATGAGTCAGTTGCCAAACATCTGAAGTTTGATCATGTGATCGTAGGGATGTTGCAATGATCATAAATGTGAAAAACAGTCATAAGTCACTTTTTTCAGTGTCATTGTAACTTTGAACGGTCACTGAATGAACTATGGTAAGTTGAAGACTACCTGTATTCCAGAGGGAATGTAGTCCTTTATAAGAAAGAAAGATTGCTCACCCCTGTGTAATAGAGTGCTTCTCAAATGGATGTAAGGATTAAAAAAAAACTATTCAGAACTATATTTACTTAATAAATAGCTGAAGTGCTTAAGAACAAAGGTATGTTTTTTTCTTCTTTCTGAGAGTATTTACTTTTAAGTGATTGTTAATCCATGTGTAATAGGACATATCACTAAATGGTAATGCAATATTGCTTTCTATCCAAGTCTCAGGAATGAAAAAACAATTTGAAAGGGAAACCCATCTGATTTGAGACCTTTTTAATAATCTATTTGAGCCTGCATGCTTGTTTTCTCTCAGTAGCAGCTAACAGTTGCTAACAAAATTAAAAGGGACAAGTTACTGACACACAAAAACACAGATATCCTACCTTTCTGGCATAAACAGGAGGACAGATAGAACAATCCAGTTGTCAAGAGGAGCCAAGTTTTCATCGTAGCTGTGATCAATTCTTAATTTTCTACAATAGACATTTTAACTTGTAGAGTCTTGCTTAATCCCCATTTTAGTGAAAAGAGCTCAGAGCATCAAATCTGTTTACTGAACTCATCCTCAATGTAGCAATTTTGTAGAAAATAGCTGATTTGTCCTTTTTCTTGTAGTGAGAAGGTATGATGCATCAGAATGCAGAAGTGGGCGTGACTGCTTAAACTTCCAATCAACACAGACAAGAATTAACTCTTGAAGTACTATTAGTAGAGAGTGAAATAATTATTGTGTACAAATAGTGACTGAATGTGAAAACATTTGTTTACATTTTACAGTGTCTCCTTATATTTTCATTGGAACATAGAGTTACCAGACATGAAGGGCAAAAACATACAAAACCTTCTGCTCTCCTTTAGTGGTTGACCGGATTTTTACAGTCCATATTTGGTAACCTGATTTGGTAACTCTAATTTACAACTGGAAAGAGAAGTCATAGCATCATGTAGCATTATCTAGCAAGCAGACAATACATTTTAACAAAATTCGATATGTCTGGCAAAATGAACTGCAGAATCAAATGGATTGTAAAAATAACTTTATAGCATTTGAATAAGGCATTTGTTCTTGGCACAAAGGAGGAACAGACTATTAAAAGAGGATGCCTGCTTCTTTGAACTGTAGATGCATCCATTGGTCACATGCGTAGCCATGGAGCTATATTCCAGTCTAGGAGCTGGTGTATATAAAATACTCTCCAAAAAGAAAGAGATGCAACTGGTCTTCCATTTGGGAGATTTCTGACTTTATCCCAAATTTGCCTTAATTTTGGAGTCTTCCTGGTACCTCGAATTTCTGTGGGCTTGTCCTGCCTTTTTCATACTCCTTGCTTAACTTCGTGTGCTGTTTTTGTCAGGGCTGAATATGGCTACTTTACTTAGCTGCTTCCATTCAAGAATGAGGAGTCCTTAGAGCTTTCCGAGCTTGGTTGTTTTCTTGTAGATGTTTCATTACCTAATTAGTAGCCCTGATGATGTTATCTAGTTTGGTTAATGAAATGTCTACAAGGAACCAAGCTCAGAGACTACCATGGATCCCTCATTTCAATCCTGAGCTACACTGTCTTACTTATTGATCCTTTCAAGAATCTTGAAGCTACATTCAAACTTTTCCTATGGTATTTGATTCAGTTTCATGTGTGTATCATTCTGATGTTTTTCACTGGGAATACATTTTAAATACACATGCCTGCTGTTTTAATTATTATAGTACCACACAATCCATGTTTTATGTAAGTTCAAATATATAAATAGAAAATTAGTATATAGAAACTGAACATGATTCTCAATCATGGTTTTAAGAATAAAGTATTCATACATCAGACTAATACCTCTTATCTGATACAGTAATGATAGTGTGACTTACATGAACTGAAAGCACAGACATTGTTCTAGACATTCTATACAATAGAGATAATTCAAGGTAAGTTGTGTTGAGAATTAATAGGTATTCTGGGAAGGAAAGGGAAAGAAGGCTTCCCTTTGCAACCAGTTCTTATCAGGCCTTTAATTTTCAGATAAATTCATACCAGTAGTCCCTTTTTAGAATAGCTTGGGATATTTTGGTTGATCAAGTTAAGTTTTCAGAAATAGTAATGTTCAGTTTTATCTTTGTTTTAACCAGGAATCTCATGATAATTCATCCATGCTTTGGCTAGATGAAATACAGAAAGGAATTGATGATGCTAACCGAAACTTGGAAGAGGCATCAAAATGTGAGGACTCATTTCAATCATTATATTAAGCCCTACTTCTTTTGCAGTCACTACTAGATTTATTATTGACCACAGCATGCATTCTCAAATTAATCTTCTACCTTGGAACATATTTTTGATAACTTGATTGTATGAAAGAATAGTACTTAATTTGCAACATCTTGCAACAGATGTGAGCTTCTAAAATGATTTCACAATTTCACTTCAGTGACCTCCTGAATTTGAGAATTTGGCAATCGGTGACTATTAGTCATTATGGCTATATACACCCTACAAGCTATGCGTGATTCTCAGAACGTGTGTGGAAAGATCATTTTGAATTTTAAACTTAAGGATTTCTCATACACATCTATTTGGCCACTTTAGGAACAGGAAGCTGGATTAACTGAATGGTTATTATTTCAAGGCTGCAAAAATCTGGATAAATATCAGATGAGAACAAAAAGATACAAAAAACTGATTTATTTTTTTTGCTATTATCTAGTTCAGGGGTGTCAAACTCAAGGCCCATGGGGTGCTTAGATCTGGCCCATGGGGCTGCCCTGGAAACAGCAAAGGACTGGCCCACGGTGCCTCTGCCAGCAAAAATGGAACTCGGGAGAGCTGCATGCAGCTCCATTTTCACTAGCAGGGGGTTGCAGGAGGCCGTCACAGCTGAAAACAGAGGGGACCCATTTTTGCTGGTGGAGCACTCGGGCCACAGGTACCCCAACACGAGTGATGTTGACCTGGCCATCCCCCCCCCGGGAATCAAACACAACCCTGCTTCAGCCCTCAATGAAATTGAGTTTGACACCCATGATCTAGTTTCTTCAGGATTTTGCAGTCCAGATTTGATAGCCCTAAGCGAATAGATCTTTAGAAAACAGTATTAAATAGATGAAAAGGAACTAAAAATTGGTCTTTAAGGTGCCAAATATATTACTGATCAATGAGAGCTGAACAAAAACAGATGTTTTGCTGGGAACCTGCTGAGTATGTAGAGTACATTACAGTTCCCTATTAAACTGGTAAATGCCTGTTATGAATCATGCTCAGCATTAATTAAAATGATTATTACACTTGGCATTGGTGTCATTCAGTTCATTACAGTACTGCATATATTGCAGGAAACTACCTTTTATTTGTAAGTGAATTAATCGATTATCTGAAATAATATAGATAAAAATATTTGCTATGATAATTTCATAAAATGGCTTTAAAACATATCACAATATGAGAATTGCAAACTGTTAGGTGGACTGCATCTGGGCTACAAAAATCCAAATGATAATTTGATGTTGGCCAAGAGGTACAATTCTCTTATCTCTGCCTTTTCCCAGTGCTTGTCTAGATTGTTACAACCTAGATATGGAAGGCACTGGTATTGGGTGCATTCAACATATTGGGGGAAAAAAAAAGACTTTAAGTAATTTGTATTTTTAAAATATGCCAATTTACATGTGGTGGTGGCAGATAGATCCATATTCTGTGTCAGGGGTGTCAAACTCGATGAGGGTTGTGTTTGACCTCAGGGAGTGTGGCCAGAGTGTCATGGCCAGCTTGATGTCACTCATGTTGGGGGCACCTGTGGGCAGGGCTGGGAGGGAACCATTGTCTCCTGCGGATGAAGGCGAGACCAGGGAGAGGGCCAAACTCTTGTCCTCCAGTAGAGCCTCGCCGTCCCTCTCAGACCACACGGAGGATCTCCAGATGGTGGCGCAGGCTATCTAGAGCCCTAGGCAGTGGAGGGCAATTGCCCAGCCCAGCTGACGAGTTCTCAGCGCACCAGGATCTAAAGTCCAGGGTGCCTGGCTGTGCTTAATTCCTCCTCGAGACTGCTGCTGCAGTTCTTGCTCTCCTTGCCCAAGTTGCTCATAGTGTGTATGGGAGGGCGAAGTATGTGGGTCATAGGGAGGCACACTCCCTCTCCATGCAAGGAGACCTGGCTTTGTAACCAAAGCATTCTCAGCGATAGGATGAGAGACCGCCAGGAGAGGTCAAGAGGAAGAGAAAAGGGGATGGAGAAAGGGCAGCAGGGCTGCTGGTGGCCAAGTGCTAAGGCAGGATTTCCCTTAGACCCTCCCTCCCTCTCATTATAATCTTCCTTCCTTTTTCTTTTCTTCTTTTTCCTTCCCTCTTCATTCTTTATTCTTCCTTTCCTTCTTTTTCTTTCCTTGTTCTTTTCTGTCTTTCCTTCTTGGTCTTTCCTCCTTCCCTTTCTCCTTTCCTGTCCCTTCTTGGATGCTCAAATACAAAAGGGAAACATTTCTCGATACCTGCTTGCCTTGTGATCAAATGCCACTTTTGCTAGTAGTTTGTTTTGCTAGCATTCTGCCAGCAAAAATGGAGCTTGGGAGGGGTGCAAGCAACACTCACAAGCTCCATTTTTGGCTGTGATGGCCTCCTGCAGCCCTCTGTCAGCAAAAATGGAGCTTGGGGGGAGCGTGTGGCCCTCCCGAGTCTGTTTTTTTGCTGTGGCAATCTCCTGCAGCCCTCTGCCCATGAAAATGGAGCTGGGGGGGCACACACGGCTCCCACAAGCTCCATTTTTGGCTTTGGCAGCCTCCTGCAGCCCTCTGCCAGCAACTCCATTTTCAGTGGCAGAGGCACCACAGGTTGGACCTTTGCTGTTTCCAGGGGCGGCCACACAGGCCAGATCTAAACACTCCATAGGCCAGATCCGGCCCGTGGGCCTTGAGCTTAACACCCCTGTTCTATGTGTAAAAGGTGAAAGGGTGTCATAATGATAAGCAGTAAAGATACAGATACTATTTGTAATATGTTAAGGTAGCAATTGGTTCCTCTGTTTTTTGCTGAAAAATGAAACATGGACTTTTGAAACTAAATATTTATATTCTTTGGGAGCTTTGTTCCCAATGCTCCAAGCAAATACACTCCTAAGATGTTACATCCTGGAATGTAAACAGCCTGAAAATACTTTGTATCTCAATCTTTATGCAATTATATAAAATGCTTGTCAGAAATTAATAGGATTTCTTGATTGGGGAGGGAAAAGAACAAATATCAAACCCAACATTAAAAATGAAAAATAAGTTGCCAAAATTTGAGTCTCTCAAATTTAAGATGAGAAACTCTTGAGCTAAAGCAAGCAGTAGAGCCTTCTCTGTTAACATATATTACTTTAGAACACAAGAATAAGGAATTTCAAGGTTCCAACTTCCTCCCTCCTCTTGACAATTATTGCTTCACCTAGAAAACCAGCACATCTGGGAAGAATCTGGAGAGAATCCCTGAGCTTGATTAATTCTCTTTTCAGTGCGTGAAGGAATAATAAATACTGCTTTATTACCTACATCCTGGAATGAGTTCAAGAGAGGCTGTGTACCATATGGTGTTTCTAAATGTGTAGATCAGAAATGTCAAACTTAAGGGCACAGGACTGCACGTAATCATTTGAAAATCGTGGATGTAT